ATTGATGGCCTGCCATGGCGGCGTTTATAGTGATGGCTTTATGCAAAGTTCGATCTTTGGAAGGATGGCTGAACCAAGGATGGATGTGCATGAACCAAGAGAGTGAAAGCGTCAACTGTTGATCATGGCTTTGGGCACTTGCTAAATGATAATCTGACTTTCGCCCAGCTCCATACCTATTTTAATGGAGGAGGGAACTGATCTAAAGGTTCCTAACCTCTTTCCTTAGCACCAACCCCTTCTAGTGAACTCTCATCTTGATGGTATTTTAAGTACTCTCATGTTAAAAAGGCACTCTTCATAATAATATCTATGCTTTCTCCGAACTTCAGAACCCAGACCGAATACCATATTGGTCAAAGTGGCATGTTGTGTCGGTACAATTGAAAACAAGCTAATCTTCCATGATATTAAATAATACTTTTGTGCTTTATATTCTAATATAATTTGTGCTTTATAATAAAATCTAATGTAGCAGTTGAAAGACTGTAATATATATTCTGTCCAAATAGAAATAGGGGGGGGATATTCTACCTATTAAATTCTACCTAAAAACCCTTTGGTTGTTCTCAAAGATTTTTTTAAGTTGTGCTAGTTACTCTGAAGGCCATTCAGTATGAAGACCATGAAAGTTACTCTTTCCCGTCTGATATCCATCTTTTTAATTGGAAATGCTTTTAATAGTGTGTTAACAGGATACCACAACTTCCGAACTGCAGTTAGTAATGAAGAAATAGCTTAACCAATTTCCCGCCGAGATGTAATCAAATTTCTTCCTATCTCTGGCGGCTCTGGTGACCTTCAGCTTTCGTGATTCCGACCTTTTTAAATAGGGGAAGAAAAAAAAAAAGAAAAACAAGCAATACTGAAATTATAGCCCCTTTTAAAAGGCAGCTTTGCGCCGTTATTAACTCGGTGGTTAACGCAATTTGCCAGCCACCCGTTTATTACAAAGAACAGGAGTTGAGCCATTTTTGTTGATTTATCCGCCTCGTCTGTAATTAAAGCGTAGTTCGCTCTTGTAAGGGCCTGTGTTCTCTTATCCCTGTTTGCTTTTAACTTTTAATATAATGATAACGGCGGTGACGTGTGACGCTATTTTTTAATTATTTTTTACCCTCGGAGGGGTTAATGAAATATGGATGGAGTCTTTTTGAAGCAGATATTATATTAAACTGAAAATTACTTTTACTTTTTTAAAGTATTTTTTCTCTTCGCTGTCTAGTTATATATTTCTTTTTCTATATTTATTTGATAAAAGCAATGAAGTTAGGTTCTTAAATATTTCAAAGGTATTGCTATTTGGTGTAATGTGTCTGTACTTCGTGTAATAAAATGTGCGAATACATGATTGAATAACTTGATTCTGATGGGGGAGGGAATCAGTTTCCTTCGTAAAATGCCTAGAGATTTTTCCTTCAAATTCAATGCAAAGTTAATCAATCTGATGCCTTGACAGCGAAAATATTTTATATGCCAATGATGTTGTAGAAACATTAGGTTATTTTAAAAAGGAGATGTGAAAAATGTACGATGCCCTCGCCAGAACTCGAACTTGGGCCTCTCGAATACGCGCTCAGTGTGCTACCGTTACACCACGAAGGCATGCAGAAAGGAGGGAGAAAATACTTTATAATGTAAAACATGCTGTATAATTTTCTAATAAATTAAGATTGAGAGTAGATTTGAAGTTCCCATTTGATGAAATATGATAATCACTTCTGTAACAAACAATAATATCAAAGCTGTATTGGTTTTTCTAAGTGTGGAAAGAAAAACACTGGCCAATCAAAGCGATGTAGTGCTTGATGTTATTTTTGGCTTTGGTGAAACGTTATCGTTTGGCAGATGGGAAGCAGTTATATTTAGGTTTAAAAATGCTCTACGTTTCGCAGAGAAACTAAAAACTTTCGGCATTTTATTTTTATTGTGTTCAAATATGAAAGGCTTAATGTTTTGCTAAGGTAACAGTGAATCTTCTTACTACAAATGGTTAGTAGAAAAGAGGTCGAAATTTTAAAATTTATTGGCTAATAACATTCGCTGGAGATTTGAACAGTGCCTTCTGTGACTGATGGTGGCTGAAGTCGTTGGTAGTATTAACGGTATTATGAAACTTAGAATATATCACATGGGGTTGTAGTGATATTTAAGCAATAGTCTTAACACTCTTTTGATGCTTAGAATCTAAGAAGTAGTAACATTGGTGGTATTTAAGCGATTGTATAACCAAATATCAAAGAATTTCAGAACTTTTTGAAAAAAAATGTGAATTGTATTAAATTATTTCATTAATGCAGAGCAACTAAAGCAATCGACCTAAGAGAAGGAATGCCTTCGTGGAAATTTTCCGGGAAAAAAATAGCTCGTACTTAACGTTACATATGATGAAAAAACAGGAAACTCATACAATAGATCCTTTTACGCACCGAAAGTATAACGTGGGGGTTAATGCCGATATTTCGCTGATAAGAATCAGGCTTAGACGTTGGAGGACTTCAAAATTTAATATGGTTTTTTTAATACTGCTAATTAAATAAGCATATTTAAATATGTATCGGAACTTCTGCGAGCACTTGTGTAATAGAGGTGTGTAGGGTAGAATATGTTTGCTTACTCAGAAAGTTGAGCCACTGAAAATGAAAAATATACGTGTATATTTCCCGGTGTTTGGGAAGTAATGTTAAAGAGCAAAGCGTGTATTAAGATTAAAATTTTGTGCGTCGTTCAAGACACATCTTAATCGTTAGTAATTTGTTTTGTAATGGCAGAATTCATGAACCCTTGCAGTTTAACGTGACGTAACTGAAATCTTTAATTTTCGACGTCTGGGTCAAAATTTATTATGTAACTTGTTACTTAAATCTCTTCATATAGCTCATTTTTTTTTAAATTTAGAAATTTTCTTTGTATTAATACTCACATAATTAGCAATTTTTTAAAATTTTGTTCGATAGGAGTAGGGCCTTCGACCCAGGTACGCAGGTGTATACACCATTCCCCCGTGAAACAGACGTCTTGGTTTTTGTCAAATAAATCTTTTTTGCTACCGTGTGCCTAACTATCTTCAGATCTATAAATAAATATTCATGCTTTTTGGACACTGACTCAAAATACGGTGACCGAATTTCTGTCGGGATTCAGAATAATAAAATAAACAGAATTTACATGAAAATAGAACTGTCGTCGAACAGACCTGAAGAGTTTTCCCGCGATTGTATTTTCCTTCTAAATTTTGCTAGTCTTCTTCTCTGCGATGTTCTCGTTCCGCACACTCTTAGTACATTCGCTGGATTTACACGCAGTAGTTTTTTATTATACTTATTTATTTTAAATATTTTTAGAATTTTTTATTAGGGGGGTAGAAGCTAAAGGGGTGGCTGTGCTTTCCAGGCGAAACTTGTAAATATTCATGAGATAGGTTTTTCTCGTGTTTTTCCGTCTTGACTTCTCTTATGTGTGTGTTTGGATTTGTTATATGACTGGGAAACTTTTGTGTTTCTTTTCTAAACATTATATGCGACGGGTCCTTTTATTATTCAAATTATCTTTGCTTTAGAATCGTGAGGAGGGTTACCATCGTAGAGGTTTCGGCGTGCCATAGGTGATTAAAGAAAGGAGATGCTGAATTTTGGCTTTTCTGAACATTGTATTTGTTGCCGTAGTATTTTTGCCTCAATAAGAGTATAGACATCAGCATTAGGCACTGCGATGTATGGGCATAAAATGAAAGTAATATAGCACTTACAAGTCCTTGAAAAACATGCAGTAAATGAAGGTGAAGCTGTTTACATATAAGATTCTAATGCATTATTCGGGGGGGGGGAATCTCGAAGTCCGCAGAATCTAGAAATTACAAAGCTTGCAGATGAATCGCACGTAATTCGTATAGGTACAGGAGTATGATGGCGAAAGGAAATTCTGCCTGGTAATGTAGTTTAAACACAGAAATCCATAAAATTAAGTATGTATCGCCTATCCAAGAATTTTCTTATTTACGTATTTTAGGAACAGTTATGTCCACCAGACTGCGATTGATCATTGACGGAAGTCCATGAAGATGTTGAATTTTGTTGTGATGCTTGTCGGAGGATTATACAGTCTTAATGCTTTCTGGGCAATCTCTTATGGAACGTTAGTTCGAAGTAAAACATAAGAAGAGTTTGTTTCTGTATACATTAACCCAAGAACTCTTATAAGTCTGAGAACTTCATTCCGTCTTAATCAGACCTTCTATAAATTGATGATTTCAATAATGTTCGAATTTTCTTTGATTACATCTGTGGCCGAAATGCTTGTCTTTGATATGCAGTTCGTGGTTGATCTTGCGAAGAACTCGCAGTCTCAAATTACTTAATGATCTTCATTCCGGCAACATTATCTTTTACTAAGCCGTATATCCGAGAAGTGACGGTAACACTGCAATTTCTTTTTTCACAATTCAAGTAATTAAGTTCACTAAACACATTTTATTGGATAATGACAGTATAGCGATGACTGTTATTGCTGAGTGTATAAAATATAGAAGTAATTATACATAAGACAGCAATAAGAATTATCAAGCTTACTGCCGTCTTATGTTAAGCAACTTCATTAGTATGTTTGGTAAGTAGTGCATGTCGATAATATTATTGAGGGTCTACGTATATTTACGTGATTTTATTCAGGATCTGTGTAGCTATATAATTAAAAGCCTACTTTCTTATGCAGTAAACAAAACCATTCAAAGCTTGAATTTATGTAGTCGTTCTACATAAATGCTTACTTTCTTTTATGATCGGTAAAATGTTAAAATATTGTTAAGTTACAAAAAAAGAATTTCTTGAAAGCATTAAATTTCAGAATGCTGCTATTTTAGAAAAGTTTGTTGAATAATGAAATTTGTAAGCTATGAAATATTTTGGATCTCTATGTATGCATGTAGAATACAGTGAAACCAGAAATTTGTGTGTGTCTGTGTATTTCTTGGAATTTAAATTTACTTTATTTCTTTCTTATAGAGGACGAGAGAGTGCAACGTTTCCTTGGTAACCAGACCCACAGCGACCACTTCAAGTTGTTAGAGAAAGACGGAGATCACTTACTCGTCGGAGCTAGGTAATATTTTATACATTTATTCTTTTGTATGCGTATGCTGTCGAATTTTGTAACAATGCTATCTATAAATATATATATTCTGTTACCCCGATGTGATGGTTTAAAATTCAAATAAGTTGAAAATTCTGGTGTGTCACATTGAAAAATGCTGTGTAAAAAAGATAACCCTTGCTCTTTAAATCATTTATCATGTAATTCTGTTATTGATAGGATAGCTGAGGACTTTTCTTCTGTCTTCTACGAGACTTACAACTGATTTAGCTGTGATATTGCTTTAATTTTTTCTTTTATTTGTGGATATTCACTCTTTGTTTAATTGTTCATTAACCATTCTATGTATTATTCGTGTATTTTCTATTCTCTGTTCATTCATAGGCTGTCCGTATGTGAGAGTTCTGCCTTTTCGAATTTAAAATTTTATCGTGCCTGTAGTTCATTGCATTTAGAAGAAATAACTGCTGACGTTAGGGCGGTTGTTCCATTGATAAATCAAGTCGAAGATGAACTTCTAGTTAGAATTTTCTTATCAGCTGCAATGAAAACGTCTGAATAGCTGTCTTTATGTCTGGACCAAATGAAGCCATCATCATTTCAAGGATTTTTGGGAAAACCGCTAATTGAGAGAGAGGAACGTCTAGTGAGAGATCTGGAGTATAGAACTAGAGCCACTCAGTTTAAGAGAGTCAAGCTTCTGCTTCATGAAACTGAAGCGCGAAAGTCCTCATTGCCATGCAGTAGAATGACCTTTTCATGGAAGCTACTAAGACGATTCTTCTTAATATTTAATTGTAACCGAAAGATCAGAGTAGTATTGACGTCCACTGACCATTAGCAGTAAAAAAAATTAGTAATTATTTCTGTACTAACGAATCGGTAGCAACGATACCTTGAGTATGCATCGTTCTTGCCAATTACTAGTGGAGGTGGTTGTCCATGACTGTCGATTTTTATGCTTGTTATGTTCCAGATCACTACCGCAGACAGTTTTTAGCACAACGAATGCCGTACTAATTACTCGCAGCTTTTATGTCGGTTTCTCCTAGTCATAGACCAGGCCTACCAGTGGCCGAGCGGTAGAGTCGCAGAACAGTAGTAGCTCGGTTCGAATCCCTCTGCATAACTTGTATACGATCCAGTTTCCTTAGAAAATCCTCCACGAAGGCATTCCTCCCCTTAGGCAGATAGAGGTCTTTGCCATAATTAACTAAAATCAATCAGAAAGTAAATCTTGACGTACACCACATGACCTTAGCACAACTGAGCGAAAACCTTTTGATCATCCTTTATATTAAAGAAAATAATAATTTTAAAAACATTACTTATAGATTTTATAATACGCCCAAAGGAGCGGGGTTTTTTAACGTTTCGTGTATTACTTTTATTTATTAAATATCATGTTCTTCGCTCTTAATCCACATAATATTCAATTCAACAACAATATGAGAAATACTTAAATACATTATAGCTTTAGAATTTCCGATAGACAGTCTCCGGCACTGGAAATAATTTTTTTTTTTTTTTCCCCCGTAGTGTTGCCATTTCTCGGTTTGAAATCATTGAATTTACGCGCAATGCAAGTTTTAGCATACTTTACCTAAATATACAGTCATCGATTTAAATTCTATTAAAGGCATAAAATGTAAAATATGAAGCATTGCATTGTTCTACATTGTTGGTTTTATATTCTACTCACAAATTTTTATACTTTGTTGTTTTCATTTATTTTATGTGGTTTACGCTTCTTAAAAAAAAAAAAAAAAAAAAAAGCTTTCGCGGGGCATAAAAACACAATATTTTTGGGAATATTTTGCGTCTATTGCTTTCCGTCCGAAACACGAAATAACTTTTATCTCCATACGGTGGCTAAAAAAGCTAGAATTCTGTTGTGGGGTTTCCTCCCGTGGCCTTCCGTCAGCTCATGTAAAGAACGGAAAATATCAGAATAAAGATGATGTGTGTTATAAGCGGTGTCTAAGCCGCATTTTTTTTCTTTGAAAATAGGTCTGAAAAACGGGGTGCGTTTTATACGTCGAAACTCACCTTATTCAAAGTTAGCACTTCGCAAGTTTGTAAATGAGTCAAAGCTTCATGGGATGCTGTGAAAACAGAGACAGTAGTTAAATCACTTAATAAGTATGGCGTTAGTAATGCACTGGATGGTATAGACGACAGTTTGTTGTATGAGGACTCACTCAGATGCTGATTTAGAAGAGGTTTCAAGTGACTCTTCCCTTAGCTTTGGAGATGAGTATCTGGGTTTCGATGAAGAAGATAAAAAGGTGTTCTTTCCGAGATAGATTGGGTATTTGCAGAAAGTATTACCTTGCATTTGTATTACTTTATATTTAAAATATTGTTAATTCAGTAATAAAGTTTTATCCTTAAAAAATATGTATAAAAAAGAGGGTGCGTCTTATACACCGGCAAATACGGTAAATCACATTATACACACATAAGTGAGTATATCCGTAATCTAAAACATTTTATCACGTTTTTAGACATTTCGATGCTTAATATATAATATATATTCAGTTTCATCTGCGTACTTTTGCGATTCATGCTGCTGTAGATTCTCGTTCGTAATTTCTCTATCATTGGCCTTTCTTAAGAATCTTCATCCCTGTCTAATTATAATGTATTGTCCGAGACATTGTCTTGACTACCTTTTTCATATCACATTAAACACTGAGGCTGCAGATTCTTTCTGGCAGGATTCATATTCTATCTATATATCTTACGCTATGAAGTATCGATATTTGCATCTAAATAGGGTTCATTAAATATCCTTGGGTCATTCTGTTACTCTGTAACAGGGATCTGCAAACTACGGCCCGCCAAAAGTTTTTTTTTTAATTAATTTTATAAAATTTAAAATAAGCAAGGTAGCATATACATTAACTGTTTTATGATACAACCAATGTATAAATAACTTGCCTGTTATTCAGTACGTTCTTTTTAAAGCATATTATAGTACTTGCTAGGTGTGTGTATAAATAATAAAAATAATGTGCGCTGGTGAGACGAATAATAATATTACTTTTCACTTTTGTCGCAAATGTCGTCGTGTGTCTGAATTTCCAAACAGTTCTAGTTTGAGTGAAATATATTACAAAGCTGATTGTTTCTCTCTATGAAAGATACAGACGACTTGTCAAATCAAAACATAATTCGTTCTGGAGAAAAATTATCGTTTAACCCGGAAATTCAGTTCATAAAACCACTCAGAGCTTTGTATTGAGACCCGGTGTCTCCGGATCTAAAGTAGAACGATTGCAACGTTGGGGTAGATATGCAGTTTGAATTCAAATAGTGGCTTCAGGGATTTCTTTTTAGGAAAGTGTTATTGTCACAAAAGTAATGGGTTAGGAAGCGTATTGAAACTTGTTTGTTTTACTTTATATTACAATGTTACTTTGATAATCGATATTATTTAACAACTGTCTCTTTCTGATATGTTTATACCTAATTCAGCGATGAGTTCTGATGTCGACATCCATAAATACGTCTGGGCAATTTTAGTTCTAATAAACAAGCGTCGTAAACGTGAATGAGAATTCTGTTTATCGAGCTAAACGGTCCATTCGAAATATCTGACTGTAACAATAGATCTCTGTAGTCGCGTGCCCACTTTTGGAAATTTGCCAAGGCCCGGAAACGGGGAGAAAAAATAAAAGTACTTTTGTTCTACGCTGAGTACTATCACTCCTTCGAACATAAATGGTTTAAGTCACAAAGTAACACAAAGATTAAAAAAATAGAAAAATAAAACAGGACTTTTGACATGGTGTTGGCAAGCAAAATGATTTTCTAACTAATTACGTATTCTTTGCGTCTAGCAAAAAGTTTATTTTTAGGAAAGTTAATTTTATGTATTAAAATAAGCAAAGTCTGGGAGTGTGTGTCATTTTTGTACTTATTATGAAACCCCTTTTAATCATAAAGACAAGATTTGGGGGACGGGTTGTCTCTTTTAGTAGTCATAGTATTTTACATATTTTATATCTGTTAACGGCAAAGTATGAAATCCTACAAACTATAGAATATTTGAGGCATTTTATAGAAGCCGAAAACTGTATGAAACGATTAAATATCTGAAACATTGCCCAGGCATTATATAAAATACCGAATGGCAAACCGACAAAGTATGAAATATATCTCCATAGTATATATGTTACCGGCAAAGTATGAAACGCCGGCATTCTGTAGAATGCCAGGCTTGTCATATGCCGACAGTTTCGGCAAGGTAAAGAGAAAATTATTACTTTTCCTAGGCATTCTATAGAATGACAAATGCTCTTTAGGCAAAGTAAGAAAAAAAGGTTATGATAAGGCGATATTCAAAAGACGTTCATTCCTCAAAAATACAAATGTTGTTTTGAAAAATTAATGAAAGGGTGCGATTAAAAAAAGTGTTATTCAAAATATCTCGATACAACATAATAAATTTGTATTTTCTATCTAGCTGAGACTGGGAATCGGTAAAATCTACTTGACAACAGAAGTTAAATTCGGAAACAATTGTAAGTTTTACAACAATGCCATTTTTAATATTGGGGGGGGGAAGGGCTTACAAAGGATGTGCTACGGCTCAATATCATTAGTTGTTACGTTTTTGTATTTTGGTGAAAGTTCTTTTAACATTCTGTCACGTCGTCTGTGTCCAGTACTCAA